TGTATTATATCTTCCTTCTCATGTTGCCTTCTTCCTCTTCTAAACATTGACAGAACTTTTCAGAGTAGGCGTGAAGTAAGTCTGTTGAATATAAATTTTGATTTTTGTCATTGTAGCTTTGCCTGGAACAGCAACACTGACATTTTGGATCTGCAGGATAAAACCAGAATGTTGCCACCATCAAAGGTCTCTTGGAGTTGTTGAAAGAAGGCTGGAACAGTCCTGGTTTTTGGACTTTCTTTTCTTTAGGTATTTTTCCTTCTATCAGATTTCGAAAGAGGAATCTGATTTTCATTTTACATTGCCCCACCCCTGTGGCGTTTTTGATATTGGCCAGAAATGAGAAACCTTGAGTTGGAAAGGTGTCATCAAAACAATGACTAGATATACTTGGAAGAAACATTTATTATTTGGCCTGCTGCCACTGAGATCTGCTAATTACCAAGCAATTATGACCAGACATAATTTTTCRCTGTCTAAAGCTGCCTCTTGGGTTTAATATCTGTCAAAAAACAAAAACCAAAAACTTTTGGAGGAGTCCAAAGAAGGACAGGAGATGTGTAAATATTTCCTCAGGGCATCCTTTGCTACCTTGGGCTTCAAGGCCGGGAGTTTGGCTATCACTGCCTCCTTAGAAAGCATTCTTGGCTCCAGTATCCTGATCCATCTTTTCTCTCCTGGCTTTTCAAATAATCAAATCATAAAAGTAGTTAGGGAAGTACATTTTGAATCTGGAACTTCTGTGATCTTTGGATGCTTTAGGAGTCAAAACTCCACATGGATTTGCCACAGCTGAGGGCTCTGTGTTTGACTCAGAAATCCTTTTGCACACAAATTAGAGGGCAACCAGTGCAAAACAATGTGGTTATAATGCATTAGCTAAGCAGGAAGCATGGAGATCTGTCTCTGCTGTGTCAGGAAACAATTTGTCTGTGGAAATGGCATGGCACAGTGCTTGGGAAGACAATGCTGTGAGCAATATTCAGTAGGCTGGTAGCTCAAGAAGGTCCTACAGGGGCACTGTCAGTGCATTAATAGGCCTGATTTATCACTGTATTATATGGATTCTACTCCAGGGCGACTCCATTCAAAGTCAGTGAATTTATCATAGGGTAAAGCTGGGGGAAAATAGTGCCTCATCCCTCTTGCTTTCCACATGAATTACTTTCATGGAGCCATATCGATACTTTCAGTTCTGTCCTCTTCTTGCCCAGCTGTGACAAGGTGGGAGCTGGAAGCTTATTATCATTGCTTAGAGGAGTTGGAATGGATTCCTGGTACTGGCAGAAATTTCTGAACCCCAGATTTGCCAGCTAATCCTTAAAAATGATTTCTGGTGAAGACAGACACATGAATCTTACAGTGTGGTTCTTGAGAAGGCACTTTGAAAAAGGGATTTACTGTTGGGGTGGAACACCAGAGGCTGTCACACCACTAAGCTGAGAATAAACARAGAGGAAAACTTGCATGAGAATGCCATGAATGTGGGTATAAATGAGGGTGGGAGCAAGCTCTTGCATCCAAACAGAGTTTGGCATTTGCCTGTAAAATGCAGGTGCTTTGCCAGCATGAAGAACAGAATTGGGAAGTGAAAAACTACATCTCCATGTTCATCTTTCAGCAGGCTTCCAAGCATACACATTTCGTTCAAAATCATTACCAAGCTGTTTATGATACATCTGTGCCAACTGCAATGTTGTATGTGGCCATCAAAGCCAAATCATTGTGACCTGATGTGACTCAGTTTTCTAAAAGGGTGCGYCTTGAGAATTTTCATTTTCTTCAGTTCAAAGTGAAACACTAGGAAAGTGTTGGAATGGATCTGAAAACAGTGCAGCACTCTTATGCAGAGGCCAGAGTGCCATTCAGGCAAATACAAGAAGAAAATCTGTCTTGGGTGTGTTTTTCAAAATAAGTCTGAAATATTCATTGGAAAARTGTCAGGAATATGAGACTTAAATTAACTCATTTAGATGCTCTGATTTTGCCTATATCTGTGGTATTGGGAAGTGCAATAATAAATTCTAAATGCTCTGTTCCTGAAATTTTAATTCACTTTTTTCCCCCCTGCATGGAAATTTATTTAAGAGTGTATGTGAAGTCTGTTTTTTTTTTCTCTCTGGTTTTACTTCTTTTCTCACCATATCTCTTTTTGTCTTTCTCCATATTTCTCTGAATATCAGTTTTATACCTCTGTGTGAATTTTAAATCTGTTGCGGATATGGAGAAAAATTGAGTGAAAAATTTTCTCTTTTCTTGGTCAAATATGCTACTGTTTTTCTTGGATTACAGAAAAACTCTTATTTATATATTCAGATGTTTAGGTATGTTCTCATGTATAGATCATAGTTTATTATKCGTTTTATTCTTGTTTCCTCAAATACTACTGAGCAAATCAACAGTAAAATTTTCCAAAGTTCTTCAAATTGAGGTCAGATGCTTTTGGGCTCATAAATCCTCTTGATCAGTGTAAGATATTTTGATACTTGAAATTTGTCACCATCTTGGTCTTCAGTAGCTCTGCCTGGTTTTAGCTTCATCTCAGTTTGAACTGAACAGTGTAGCATTGTCAGAATTTATAATCAGCAGTTGGATTTATGTGTAATAACACCAGCGATGCTGGGTTGTTTTGTTTTTCAGAGTTTTCCACTACAACAGACAACAACAGACACATAAAAATGACAGGGTTTTTTTTCCCCCCCCCATGCAAGCCATGAAAGTGGTTTAATTGTTTTTGAAAATATAGTCGTTGATGAGAGACCTCCTCCYGATGAAATTGGATTCAGTAGCATAATTGATGAAATAAGGAGGAGGAGATTACCCCAAATGACCTTTGTGTCTGAAGCTTTATTTGAAAGGGGAAAATGACTTTTTTCAATGTACTTCCAGATAGTATCTACATTTCTTAGAAATTTGCAGGGCTTTTTGCGGGAAACCCCCKAACTATTTCTGTGTGGCTTTGGCCAAAATTATTTGGTTTTCTCTTACCAAATTTCAAAAAGGTTGAATAGTTGGCTTTTCTGAAGGAAAGGCAATACTTTCCATATAGAAAAGTCCCATTTTTTTTAGCATTGCTTTTTTTTTTTTTTTTTTTTTTTTTTCCACATTTCTGACAAGTAAAAGAGTACAAAAGTACCTGGAAGTACAGTTCTTGGGTCATGAAATTTCCAAGTGAAAATAAGATTTACAATCTCTGAGTTTTTGCCTGCTGCAGCACCAGTTAGTGCCTTTCTATTAGGCTTAAAATCTGACATAAATACAAACACGAATTTGTGTTTCTTCCACTTCCACTTTTCCAATGCAAATACCATTATGACTAATTGCCATTGACACTAGTCAGTGAGGTATAGAGACTGTGGTTGCCTAAACAGTCTGAACTACAACTTGAAGGGATCAGCTGCTCTTTTCCTACTCCTCTGGTGTGATTGCTGGAGTGTTCATGTTAATGCAGAGGGTTTCAGATGAGGAAACTTTACCAAATGACAGTTAATAATGAAAAAAAAGGAAAGTTAATATGGACAGGGGGGAGTGGCATAAACTGGTGTCATGTAATTTGGTTGAAGTCGGAATTGATGTTGCTCTGAAATTGCAGTGCAGTCATGTTACATGCTAGAGATTATGCAGTGTTGGTACCACAGTGAATTACAGATGTTCTSTTTTGTGGGGCAGTTATGTTAAAAAGCAGGGTTGGATGCTATACCAGCTGGGGAGTGTGCTTTGTGGCTATTTTTCAGCAGGTCAGCATAAAATGACAACCATGATCATGAATCTTACTCCTGTGGGATAAGAAGAGTCTGCTGGTCTGCACTACCCTTCCTAGACAGATGGAAGAGGTTCTCAGGTGGTGGTTTTTATCTATCCTTGCCTGCGTAGACTGTGAGGATACATTTACAGAGTCTGAAACTGCTTTTCAGAATGTTAGAGTACAAYATCGTTGCTGTTCTGTCTACTTCTTATTTTAAACCAAGGGGTTGTGCCTCCTGACTTCCCTAAATCAGGCTTGGAGCCTTCAGTTAYGATTGAAATAAAGATGAAGGCTTAAATGCAGGGATTAGATAGTTAAGATGAGGGTTTAGAAAATACCCATTTTTGCCATCAGATAATTTTGTGATATTTCTGTAAAGAAGTCTCTTCAACAAAAACTGGAAGGAATTCGGCCATGAGGAATTCCAGCAGTGAGAATTTGAGATGTTTGGGAAATCAGGAGCGAACTGAAACTGAGGTCTTAGAAATGGTGGTATTTTTTTTTCTGGTGCCAAAAAGCATGCCAAGTTATTTTGTCCTGAATAATCTGCAGATTCAATCTCTCTTGAAGTGCCCAAGGGGATCTCTGACAGAGTTTTGGAATCCGTGGTTCTCCTTGGTGCTATGTTTTACAGCTTCATAACAAAACACTGAAGCTGATTTTTGCAATGGATAAAGTGGAGTTCAGTATATATTTGATCTCTTTCAATAACTAGAAACCTTAACCATTTTGTAAACAAAGACTCAGCCCAGTGTGAATATGCCTAATAAAAGAGATACTTTATTGGATTGTGGAAGTAGTGTATCTTGTATCTTCTTCACTTATTAAAACATAAGGCCTTAATTTCAGAGCTAGGAATAAGAAAGAAGACAAAGAATAGCTCTAGATTGGAAACTATGAAGCCTGTGCCTAAGTCCAGTGAAAACAGTTATGGCTGAGTCATTTTGATGGAAGCATGTACAGCCAATAAATTCAATAAATAGGTATATTTAAACACATGGAGGCAATGATTACAGGAGGAAGCTGGAGAACAATATTTTAAGGTGTATAAAGTTTTTTCATTTGCCATGAAAATGTGTACTACTATATAGATTTYCATTCTCTGAAAGGAAAGTTGAAAAGTTGAGGCCAGAAATGTCTGGAAGAGTGAACATGGTATGTCTTTAAAATCCAGCCATTCTCATGCACATCTGCCAGTAGTGGACATTGACCTTCTCTTTCCTGCTGTGGGCCGACGTCACTCAGTGCGGGAAATATCAGAGAAGTGACACAGCTCCWGTTTAGCACAACAGTGACCCTGTGAAATGTGGCCTTGAAAATCTTACAGTGCTGGAAAGCCAGGATCTCTGTTTGAGCATTCCCACTGCATGCAGCCTTTGGCGTGGTTGGCGAGGTTAGTGAAAGTTTAATCTTTGCACTTTCCTTCTCTTTTATCTATACATGTGACTAACAGCAGAAAAAGCTAATGAGCAGATGAACAGCAGATATTTTGAACTTTCAATGTTTCTGAGATATTTGGGTAAAGTAAGGTAGGGCAAAATTTGGTATAGAGAGGTAATACCTTTAACTAGGACAAGAAGGAAACATGAATTCTCACTTGATGAAAGCTTGTTACTTTTCCCCAATGTTTACATCAGTTGCTTTGGTGATTTCTGTAGCAATGTAAAATCACTATTTTTGTTTGTTACCATTAATAATTTATTAAGTTTAAAGATGGACACCAAATAATTTGACCATCTACATTGTGTGGATGTTGCAATGTGAAGTGATCCTGAGGGATATGCTCTTCTGTAAACTGATACTGTGTTTTAATTTGTGTATCTATCATAAAAACTATTTAGATGGAACAGCAAAAAATTTAGAACTTAGATATTTTACTAGGAATAAATGTACTCAAACGTATATTCAGGTGAGGATAAAACATTAACAGTGTGATATTTGTATCAGATACCCCTATTTTGAGAACTTTTTGAAGTTATGTGCCTGATCCCATCACRACAATGTGCCATCATAAAAGTCCAGTTTCACTGAAATGTTAAGTTCATTGCTATTCAGGAAAATGTTTCTTTGAATTCCATTTTCTCTGTTTTTAATAAATCTTGGTTTTGGCTAGGATCACTCTTGCCTAGGTAATTTTACAAAAATGCCTGTAGAATGCTGAGAAGCTCATCAGCTTTCTGAAGAAGACCTTCAGACTTTCCAGAACTTAAAAGTTCCTCTCAGTGCCAATCGTTAGACAGGAAAGAGGCAATTCTGTTATTTTTTAGTAAATTTTGCCTGCCATCAGGCTCCAGTGAACAAACAAAAACAAATACATAATCTGAAAGACTAAAAGAAGGCTAAAAATTGGTGTTAGTGGGTGGCMATATAATTTTTAAAAAAAGATGAAAACTATCTAATTTATGCTTGGCTCTTGCAGTGCATCCCTTAGCCATCATGTCATTTCCAGCATTAGTCACAAAAGGAGCTATGTGACTTGCTGATAATATCTGCAGATGGGAAATCCTCAGAGGATTTCTTAGGATGCATCCGTGGCTGGCTGGACTCTCAAGAGCTGTGTGGAACAACCAGAGCTTCTTGGATGGGCAGTTCTCTATCTTCACCAAGGTGATTTTGGCCTGTGAAAACAAGGATTAGAAATGCTGGACCCCTGTGTTGCAGGGGGCATTTAGAACACTGCGTTACCTCGGTGCCAAAGTGCTTAGAAGTGATTCAGTGGGTTAAACCCAGAAATCTGGGTTTGCCGTAACTGTCACAGATAAGTTCTTCCAGCAGTTGTTTTAAGACAACTTATGAAAACATAAGGCCTTAATTTCAGAGTTAGGAATAAGAAAGATGACAAAGAATAGCACTAGGTTGGAAAATATGAAGCCTGTGCCTAACTCCAGTGAAAATAGTTACAGCTGAGTCATTTTGATGAAAGCATGTACAGTGCTAAGACAGTGGCTAAGACACAAACTAATGGCTTCAGAAAATGGATTAACAAGAATTCTTACTCCTGCTAGAAAAAACGGCATTATGTCTGATTTCCAATCTGGGAAAAAAATCTCGGAATAAACACAGCTGTTGAACATCTTGATGTAGAAAGAAAACCAATGTCTTCTTCATGTTTTATGATCTGTAAATTTRTTATGTCAAGCCCCTTGCATAGTAGCTGCTATGCATTTTCCACTAAGCTGGGATGCATGGTGTGCTTGAAGATGAAGTATAAATTATCTGTTCCAGTGGCTACTTTTAGCCTGTTTGACAGACATTTGTACAGGGTAAAATGCACAGCACAATTTCTGGTAGGTCCTTCAGTAGTAAAAGTTAACATCAAATTCATAACTTTGTGAACACTTTCRTTACTGTGTGACCTCGTCCTAATAGGGCCAGGTTGGGTTCAGGCAGGGTGAGTGWTGCGTTGGTTATGGGACACGTTGGCAACCTGATATCCACGTGCAATATGATGTGTGATATATGTGAGCTASAAATATATATGTGAATGCCACATTTGGGGAGAAGCACACTTCCTAAAAGATGGAAAGTGAGAAGTTAGCCTCAGTTCTTTTCTTCTAAATATATACTGGGACTTAGTCACTTACTGAACTGAATTTAAATAAACAAATAAGGCTTTATTTGTATTTGGTAGAAAGTTCCAACCTCTTTTCAGTGAAAACTTTGCCATTAGGTCTTTATGAATAATTAATTTTTCACTTTTCTTTCTCAGTGAAAAAACTAAGAAAATATTTCAGATTGACTCATAGTTAAAAATTTTTGTTTATCTCACTGTAATGAAAAATCCAAATGTAATGAAAACAAAACATTGTTTCTGCTTACGTTAAATGTTTTCTGCACTAAAACACTTTATTTCATATAATTGTGGGATTTTTAATCCTCCTAAATTTGAAATGAATTTTAAAAGAAAATAATTATTTTGAAAAGAAAACCATTAACACCARAGAGTTAAATATTTTCAAGGTTTTTATGTATCTCTCTGCTATCATCCTATCTTCATTTTACAGCAAATAAACTACTGAGTGGATTTTTTTTTTTTTTTTAATGTTGATTTATAAATGATTCCTTTAGCTGTTCTGGTCCTTTCCTGGTGGCTGTTTGCCATGGTGTGAAGTGTTTCGCAAACTTTTCAGAGAATTGTGGTGCATACACTTTGTGCACCTGAAAAATAAATATGGATAAATAGATGTGAAGGCCCTTCCTTATCTATGGTTGGTTTAGGCTGCAGGTTACGCTTGTTTTAATTTTGAAAATCTTTAATTTCCCCAGGGTAAATGAACCTTTAGGCTTGGTTTTCTGTGCTTGGAAGGGAATCAGACTAACACTGYGTTATCTTATTCTTCATCTCCTCTACATTTTAGGCCTCCATTTAGTTGGTTTTGGAAAGCGTAAAGTGTTTGAGAGGATTAGAGAAGGCAGAAGAAGAGGAATTCAGAGCATGTATTGAGTAAGGGACGAGAGGAGAGAGATTTTGGAGGAGAGGGATTTTTGAGTTGCTTGTTTTTATGGACAACTCTCCATGGCAGGGTTCATTTGAACACTCTGGAGTTCATAAACGTGCATAGCCTGGAAGGCAGCGCCCATTTGAATGATTCACAATTTCAGAGCAAATGATTTACCCAGCTGCTAAGATAACACTTAAAGACTTGGTAAAATAAATTTTTATTTTTGCTTTTAAAGGTCTAATTTAAGCTGAAAAACACACTTAAAACTACAAATGGGCTCAAGCTAAAAAGTAAAGTGTGTGAGGCCTATCCAACCTCAGGCAGGTTGGGATCCAAACCTTCTACCACTCTGGCTTTTGATTGTTTTTAAATTCCTTATTGGTTCTTTATTGTGTCCTTTGTAAATTTAAGGTGGTGGGAACAGYTGGTTACAATGGATTTAAATTTTTTTGGAGGGTATTTCATGAGAATTCATTTTTTTCTCAAGTTGAGGCCTGACCCCTGAGCCAAGCTCAGTGTCCAGTGATGCTTAAAAACTTGCTGCCTAGCTCACACCTCCAGCTAGGACTAGTTCAGTTCTACTTAATTTTCCAGTATACAAATTAAATGTATTTTYAAAGGCTTTGCTCCAATAATTTCACAGTGAGGCTGTTCTGCTCTCAGCCCCAGTGTGATGGCTACCAGTGAAGAGGCCTCAACTGTTGCTCCGTGTATTTTTGGATAGGGTATAACTATTATTATTGTTACACACATATAACGCCACTCAACTCTTCATGCTGTAGAACTGGCGTTTATTTGAGTGCTGCCTTTCTTCTTGAACAGTACTGAAGCAGTAACTAAAATTTGGGCCAGTAGACAGGAAGACTGCAATTGATGGAGTGACACATACAAAAGCCTGTTTTGATTTCAACATTCTTCATTTGACAAGTGTTTACCTAGACAGTGTAATCAAAATGAATTGTCATTTTCTGCAACCCCAAGTCTTTGATGTGTCAAAATTCCTGTGAARATAGATAAACAAAATCTGAAATTTCCAGATGGACAGCTGTACTGCAAGCAATCTACACATGATTCAAGTTTGAAAATTATTTGTATCACTTGTTGCAATACAAACACATGTCTTAAAATATTAAGACTTGTATCCCAGAAGACTTGCTGTAAAAAAGAAAACAATCTTAGTTTGTATTCAAATAGTTTATATATTTTGATTTTGGTGGATCAGATTTTATGTCATTCTCCACATTTTCTTAGATGCCCTGCCAGAAGAAAACAGCAAAAAATGTTTCCCAATGAGCCCAACACAGGCAGATAGCCCAAAACTGTCCTTGTCAGTGGAGGTCTGCTCTATTCATGCTCTGGTGAAATCGTGAAGAATGYTGTTGAGTACCTTTCCTGTGACTTATCTTCTAAACTTCTTATACTTATCCATGATGAGTACATTGGGACGAAAATGCTGAAATGAATACCCAAAACTTGATTTTTCAGAGGAAATTCCATGTGCCCTCTAGTTGTCTTTGGGATTTTACGTACTTCAAAGCGCAATCTGAAGTTAAGTAATATACTTGTTGTTCTGTATGTGGTTTGAGAGATGTGGTTTACAGATATTTAAAATCTCATATGTGGACATTAAAAGTGTAGATACTTGGAAGTGGGGAGTGTAATTAATTTATGCATCTTTTTTTTCCTCCCTCCTTCATTGCAAGAGTTGTCTATGTCATGTGTGCCTACCTGGTAGAGATGCAGAAATACACATGTAATGTGCTAGTTCCATTTTAACTTTCTGAATGAGCCATACAAGCTCTGTAACTCTGCTCGTTACCTGAATGGTCCAGCTATTTTTTGTGTAAACTACAGAGGAAGTTAACCTTATGATGGCAATTTTGAGTTCAGTTGAGGTCAGAAGGGCATAGGCTCAAGCACTGATATTCTGATATTAGTCATGAAATTTCAG